CAGACTATTCATTTGGCCTTTTCTTCCTCTTTTTTTTTTTTAACCTCACTCCTGACCTTTACTACTATGGTTTCCAATGATTTACTGTCAATAGCAGAATGGTCCATCCCAAAATTCATCTTTACCTTCTTATGGGGTACACGACCACCCAGCCAGACAGTACTACGTGTGGCAATATAACATAAATTTCAGTAAATGAGATGGAACAGAAGTGACAGTTTAACTTCCAGGCTGTTTCTACATGACTATCACTCTAGCTTTTCCCCTTTTCTGAGGACTGAAATATAGAACTGGAGATAACAAAGCTATAACTGTCTGACTAAAAAGTTGCAGAGCTACTTAATGGACCTATAGGTCCCTACATTAGAGAGAAATAAACTACTTTTTTTATTGTGCCACTACCTTTTTGGACTCTTGTTGCAGCAACTTAACCTTTACCTTACTTAATAAAGCGTTCTGAATTAATTTTTATCAGTGAGTATGAGACTACATCAAGATATGCTGCCTTAAACCTATTTGCAGAATTACCAAACAAAACAAAGAAACAAACAAAAAACCTTTGCAAAAGTAGATAAAAAATGACCACACTTACCTGCCAGAGTTCTGGCAAGGCCAGCCAGCTGATCTGTGGTCAAGTTAAGCTGGCTTGCCACGCAGAGGGCTTGCTTCCAGCTGCCACAAGTCAGAAAGGCTGAGAGAGCTTTCTCATGGGCACCGCATCGGGCAAACATGAGCCCCGCTGGCTCATACATGCACTCCTGCATCAGGTGTTCCCCATAAGCAACACCGATATCCTGAGACAGGAGGAGTTCTGCAGTTAATAAGGAAATGCGACACAGGTCCAGGGTACTTGGTTTCAAGTACACAGGTTTCATCATACTTGAAACTTGCTTGAATTACTCGGGAAAATCTTAAGATCTATCAGTTAACTCATTTTTCCATTCAATATTTACTAGGGCCGTGCCATTTATTTACTCAACAAACAATTACTAAATACCTAGATATGCATTATTCTGGACTGTAGGAATAATACAGCAATGCAAAACATAAAACCAAACAAGAACAGGTCAGGACCATTCTCGTAGATAAAAAGTTTAAGATGAACCCTGAAACTAAGGGCAGCGTTATGAACTCAGGATCCTCACCCCTTTACAACCAATGAACAGAGCCACATCAGGAGAGCCTCATTTCACATTCCACATACCTTGTACTGCTGTGAATTTGGTGGATATAACTTCAGAGCTTCGTTATATAAGTTTTGATCTTTTATTAAGTTTAAGCATTCTGGGAAGTACTCAGGTCCTGCAGCAATAAGATTCACACAGACACAAACTTAAGATTTAGGAAGCATAATGAACGTCACATACACCAATGTTCCCCAAACAAACTCAATGAGGGACCTTTTTAAGGCGCACACAATCGCTATACCTGGAGAACAGAATTCAGGAATGTGCATTTTTAATGGGCACCACTGAACTGTGAGGTAAGAGAAGCACTGATTCACATCAGCTATCTACTTAAGAGGTCCAGCTACCCAGCTCTGTTTTCTCAATTTCCCATATAAGGAATCATGTGGGAAGCTTATTAAACATACACACACATCAGGCCTATCCCAGCCAGCTGACTCAGAGCAGAACTTAACACATATTCTGGATGATTCTTCCTTGTCCCTGCATGGGTCTTCAGTGAAGAATCCCAACTGCTCCAGCATGGAACAGGGCAGGGTAGAGCTGAACAGATGGCCCTGAGCCTGTTCCATTCCATCACTGCCAGTTAAAACCTTCTCTTTCCAGGCACTGGGCTATGGGCCTTAACACTCACTCCAGACAAGTAGGGGTTTCCCTCACATGTTTGCAAACGCCATGAGAAGGGGGAAATGTCAACCAGCTTTAATTTTGCAACACTGAAATTAATTTAGGAGGTGCTCATTCTTAACTCCCCAAAAGGATCTGCTCTATGTTCTCAGCTAAGCAGCTCTTCCAGTTGGCCAAAAGTGATTTGAAACTTTGCCTTCAGCTTTTCAGAAGACAGGACAAAATAAGGTGAATGTATATAATTGTTAAGTTTTCAGGAGTGAAAATGGAAATCAGTCTCTGTTTAAACTCACATTTTATTTTAATTTATACCTTGCCTAGTTTTAAAGAAGATTTGAAACAGAAATAAACATACTAGTCCTCACACTTACCACATCTGCTGAGGTGGCCAATGGCTTTTTCATAACGTTTCAAGTATTTGTCTATAGTAAACCGCTGATAATTAGTTTCCATTTTCTTAAGTGTATTAAGAAATGGAAGATATTCTTTGGGATCCTAAAAAAAAATTAAAGAGAACATTATTACTTGTGATATATAAAAATAAAAGTATCTGTTACAGTTATAGCAATAATCCCATAGCTATATAATTTTTAAATGTGTATGATATATTAACTATGGCATATAGTATGTAGGATCAACTACAGGCATCCCTCAGTATTCACATGGGATTGGTTCCTGGACAACCCCCATGCAAAAATCTGAGCATCGTCAGCTCTATAGAACTATCTTATGCAAAAAGTTAGCCCTCCATGTCCCTGGGTTCCCATTCTATAAATACTAGAGTATAATGATGTCATTATAGCTCAAACTCCTGGGTTCAAGTAATATTCCTGCTTCAGCCCCAAGTAGCTGAGACTACAGGCATGTGCAATCATGGTCGGCAAATTTTTTTATTTTTGTAGAGACAGGGTCTACCTCTTGCTCAAGCTGATCTTGATCTCCAGGCTTCAATCAGTCCTCCTGCCTCAACCTCTCAAAGTGCTAGGATTACAGGCGTGAGTAACCGCACCCTACCTAAATGCTATACTTTTGATCTACATTTAGTTGCAGGTATAGAACCTGATGATATGGGGCAGGGCTGACTATCTAAAACTATCTGTGTATAGGTGGACCCACACAGTTCAAACCTGCGTTTTTCAACGGTCAACTGTATATCAAACACTTTGTAAAAATACTTACACGTATATTATTAGTTTACGTTTGAAATGATAATTACTAATCTGTATCTTAGTCTCATAATATCACTTATTTTACAACCAAATAAGGAAAACAAGGTTCCAATCAGAAGATATTCAACAAATACTTTTTAAGTTTCTCCTAAAAGTGCAAGACACTGCTTTTGGTGCTATTTTCATGACATTCCATGCCCTCCATTTGCAAAGACACACGTTAAACCAAAAATATTATACTGAGTTGGACACAAAACTCTGAGACCCAGCCAACCCAGTATTTACTGGTGCTACTATCCTTAGCACTGTGCATCTGTAAGAAAATAATTTCTTCTTCCCAAAGAAGAAGTGCTTCCTGTTTTTAAAGCAATTTCACAAGCAAACAGCATGAATACATGTAAGAATAATATAGGAAAAAAATACATTACTCATGCATATGGTGTGGAGGATGACCCTGAACCAACACCTTCAATCAACAATGCTTAGAAAGAATCTGATAAGAACAAAGAATGCATAACCCTTAACCTCAGGGAGCCTCCAGTCTAGGAGGGAACAGACTACAGCATGCAGGGCTAGGCCCTGGGCACAACAGAAGCACACAGGAAGCCCCTATCACCCCATCCCTGGAGAGAGGCAAAAATGGCTTATTGGGAAGATGCCATGACAGCATCCTTTGACCTAGATGAGTACAAGTTAGCCAGGAGAATGGTGAGGGCGGGAAGCTGGTAATGCTGCCTGCAAAGGCATGTGAGGCTTGGTAGTGGTGGTGGGTGGGAGAGGAACAAAAGCACTTTCTTCAATGGGCAGAGGAAAAAAGACAACACCAAGAGATGAAACTAGAAAGACGCACAAAGGCTAAATCAAGGAAGGGCTTTTAAGCCATTTTATGGCTTCTGAACTTTATCATGGGGCAATGGGGAGCTCATGAAGGATTATAAGCAGAGGAATGAAGGATCAGATTTCCCTTTTTGGAAAGTTCACTTTGGCAACAGCAAAAGAGTGACAGGGAAAGGAATTGAAGTTGTAGAAAACCAGATAAAAAATAGACCAGTGTGCTCAAACTTTCTGATGGCAGTAAAAGAACTGGGCCTTTCTATGCTCCATGTGCCCTTCACGGAGAAAAAGAGCTACGTGCGGGGCCCAGCACCTATAGCTCAGCGGCTAGAGCACCAGCCACATACACCAGGGCTGGCGGGTTGGAACCTGGCCCAGGCCTGCTAAACGACAATGACAACTACAAAAAAACAGCCAAGCATTGTGGCAAGCGCCTGTCGTCCCAGCTACTTGGGAGGCTGAGGCAAGAGAATCTCTTAAGCCCAAGAGTTTAAGGTTGCTGTGAGCTGTGACACCACAGCGCTCTACTGAGGGCGACATAGTGAGACTATATCTCAAGGAAAAAAAAAAAAAAAAAGCGCTATGTGATAAAGAACTGGGGCACACTGTGAACACTTGTTACACTTCCTTCATAAGGAAGGATTGGCTCACACAGAAGCCTGCAGTATTAAAATAACCATGTAACTTTATCCCTTAATCTAGCAATTAAAGCCTTTAATAGGTCACCTCTCAATTATAAGGGAGACCCTTTTCCAATCTCTCTTGAAAAGTCTATGTTTAAAAAAAAAAAAAGAAAAGAAAAGTCTATGTTTATCTACGATTTACTTTAAATAAACTATACTCTTTGCTGAGGGAAAAAAACCCCTTGATAATCAAAGAACTATGACAGAAAATGTGACTCAGGAGCATGGACCCCGGAGACTCTCAGATCTGTCTCCAGTCCTGTATTCACAGGGGAACATCAGAAAAGACACTACCACATTATCAGGAGAAGGGTTTCATACTACCACGATTATTTAGACAAGAACCAAAATGATATAAAATTAGTAACTCCACATACCTTCTGTGACTTCTCAGCCACCATGACCACCAAATCAAAGTCGTAGGTCCCCAGAGAATGATCATATAATTCATTAACATCTACCAGAAGCAGCAAATATTTCAAGGCCTCTTCCGCACTCACAGAGTCAGGAACAGAGGCAGTATTTCCTGTCGGTATTTAGAAAACAAAACAGAACAAAACCATTTGGGGAAAAAAATCCAGAGACCCAGTAACATAACAAAAGACAAAATAATAAATTTTTCTGACAAAACTGAACACCAGATGAATATACACTTTTGACTCCTTTAAACATGCTTTCTAGGGCAGCACTGACAAAAACTGACAGAGGTCTTAAATGGTGACCACAGGGCCACACATTCAATCTGTGACATGCAACATGGCAATGGTCACTTGCAGAAGACCAGCAATAGTCAAGGCCACGTTAAGCACTTTCTCTGTGCTTAACAGATACCTACCTTGAAGCTCGTGTACCTTCTGTAGCACTATTTCCAGTTCTGGGGTTGTTTTCTTGATGTGAGATGTGAGTATTGACAGGCAGTACCTGAGGTAACAAGTGAAGAACCCCAGAACGAGAAGGGTGAATAAACCAGACGAGGACAACTACACACGTCGTTATGCACAAGATGCCAACCACCAAAAACAGACATACTTGTGAGGATTTATGTTCTCCATGGCTGCTCTCATAGCATCGCAGATAAGGTCTAGTTTTCTCTCATGGGGCTCTCTGGACAGCTGGACACTGCTGGTAACTGGAGGAGGGTACATGGTCTTTGTGACATCTTCTTCCCTAGGAAGAACACGAATGAGGATGTCACTAATTGAGCATGAGGTCCAGTAATCAAACTACTAACTGTACCAGGCATGCTGATGAAACAATGAATAAAAGTAACTTTTGGAAAATGGTTCAATAATAAAAATGTTGAGAAACAGAGGAGGGCAGAAAATATCTGCACAATAGTGTTGGCAGATGTTTTATTCACACTATCTCTAAACAGAGTACAATCCAAGTATCCAGCAATAGAGAAATGAATAAATAAACAGTAGTTAATTTACACAATGCCATACTACTGAGCAATAAAAAAATCATGAACTAGTGATTCATGCAAAATCACAGATGAATCATCAGACAATATGCTAAATGAAAGCAGCTTTATTTATATACAAGAGTAAATACCGTATACTCCGTTTGTAGAAGTTTGTGAATAGGCAGAAGTGATGTACGGCAAAAAACTCAAAACTCAAAACCCAGTTACCTGGGGCGGGGGATGAGTGGGATAGAGACTAACTGAGAAGGAATAGAAGGCAACTTTCTGAGAAGGACATGCTCTCTTTAACTCGACAGGGGTTCAGGTTACACAACAGTACATCTGCCATAACTCACTGAAGAGCAAACTTAGGATTTGTGCATTTTGCTGTAGATAAATTTGACCTTAAAAAAACCAACAAAACCATCCCATACACAAAGGATGCACTCTACTTAATGCTGTTCACAGTGAATTACTAAAGGAAAGGAAAGGACACTGACCCCTACAACTTACTTTGAAATTTGTCTACAAATAAGATGAACGATGGATGGACATTTATAGATAATGCTAAACCAAATACAGAAAGGCATGAACTGGAGAATCTGGGGTAGGGGTTCAGAGTACTCACTGGACAACTCTCTCAATTTTTCTATATGCTTAAAAGTTTCATTGAAAAGCTGGGGGTAAAAACCATCTCAGAAAAAGACACCATTTGATTTTAATCCCCCCCCCAAATATAGTAGAACCCGTATAGTTGACCACCTTCCTACACTGACCACCTCCTCAAAATAACCTAATTGTCACAGACTGACATGCACCACATGTACATATCAGTACAGAAGACTAGTTCCTTATGTTGACAACCTCTCTATGTTGACCAGACTGCTCCAGTCCCTTTAGTGGTCAACTCACAAAGGTTCTACTATTGTTTTATATGTGTATCTAAGAATGAAATCAATAATAATTCTGAATGAAATATTTTAAAGTCATAGTTTTATATAGGTTGTTTTTAGTTCTTTTTTCTTTTCTTGAGGCAGAGCATCAAGCTGTCACCCTGGGTAGCATATAGGTTGTTTTTAAAAGAAGAAGAGAGAAAAGAACTTTTGGGGCTTGGTGCCTGTAGCTCAAGCGGCTAAGGTGCCAGCCACATATAACAGAGCTAGAAGGTTCGAATCCAGCCTGGGTCTGCCAAACAATGACAACTACAACCAAAAAATAGCCAGGCGTTGTGGTCGGTGCCTGTAGTCCCAGCTACTTAGGAGGCTGAGACAAGAGAATCACTTAAGCCCAAGAGTCAGAGGTTGCTATGAGCTGTGACACTACAGCACTCTACCCAGGGTGATAGATTGAAGAAGCTCTGTCTCAAAAAAAAAAAAAGAAAGAAAGAAAGAAAGAAAAGAACCTTTGGGCATCTAAGAACTATAGTAATTTTTTAAAAAATGAACAGTATATAATTTTTCTTCTCTAGCTATTTATGTTTGATTTCCTTAACAAGAAAGAAAATTATGTAAATGTATTCACAATTATTCAAAATACTTACTTCAATTCTGTGAAAAACAAATTAATATAATTTACAGATTCTATCTGTCTAATGAAAGTTTCCACATTTTCAAGAAACACCTATCAAAAAAAAAAAAAGGAAAAACATCTTAGTTCGAAGATCATGTTAATTCAAGTATAAAGGAAGCTAATGTAAAAGTCAGATTAGAAGGTTACCTTAGGATTATGATCATAAATCAGATTGAGATTAATTCTCAGTTTTCTCATGCATTCAAATGCTTCTTTAAACATAAGCCTAGGAGGAAAAAAGATAGGCATTTTCCACAAAAACTAAGCTCTTTGACCCAGCATATTTTCATTATTATGCAAATCAGTTATCAGATTACAGCCCAAATGCCAAACTACTACTAGATTTCTACTCTAAAATTACAGTATTAAAAACCAGGTACCATGTTCATTTACCTTCTTAAAAGGTGTCATTATCATCAAAGCAATCAGAGCACTATACGCCCACACAGACACAAGAGAAAATCACCTCAGAACTTAGGTCTACGTTTTAAATAAAGCATTAATTTAGATATTTCTCATACAAAGTTTCCCACAAATAGATTCAGAAAATTGAGGCCAGCACAGTGGCGCACAATGTAATCCTAGCACTCTGGGAGACTGAAGCAAGAGGATTACTTGAGCTCAAGAGTTTGAGACCAATCTGAGCAAAAATCAAGGCCCTGTCTCTACTAAAAACAGAAAAATTAGCTGGGCTTGGTGGCACAAGCCTGTAGTTGCAGCTACTTGGGTTGCTCAGGCAGGAAGATTGCTTAAGCCCTGGAATTTGAGGCTGCAGTGAACTCGGTTGAGGCGATAGTACACTAGCCCAGACAACAGAGTTAGACTCTATCTCAGAAAAAAAGAACAATGCTATAAAATTTAAGCAGGAAAAAAAAAACTGATCATTTTCTTCAGAGCAGTGACTCAGGCTTTTTTAGGTCATAGGGGCCTCTGTAAATGTACTGAAAGCCACATGCCTTCTACCAGGATAAATACATATGGACAATTTGGTACTCAATTTCCCTTGGTTCACAGGCTACTTAAGGTTCCAGTGAAACCCTCTGCAAGGAATGTTCATTGCAATATACAGTATCAAAGTCAAAAAATGAAAAACACAACCAAAAAGCCTCTGAGAATCTGATTAATGATATCTATAATGAAGGTTTTTCAGATTTTTTTTTTGTTCTGCTGATTTTAGAGTTTTAATCTTCGTGTCTGCAATGTCCAAAGTATACTTTATAATTTGACACATTGTATGGCATAATGTAGCCATGTCATATGTTACCAAATATTGCTACATAGTTCAACTTTGTAGAAACAGGATTACCCCTACCCTACCACTACCACATTTACACAGAGTAGTGAAAGTGCTTAAACTTCCTATGGTTCCAAGTTATAAGAAAAGTTCCAAGTTCCCTCTTATAAGCATTTCCTTCAAAATGTATTTTATAGAAATATTTCAGTTCTCCAATGAAGAGCTAACAAATGATTGTTTTATGCTGCAGTCAAACTCAATCAACCTAAAAAACCTAAACCAAACAATTTTACAAACATTTTACAAAATGATGTAAAAGCCCTCATAAGCCAGGCATTTCTTTATACTGTTACACTACAGACAAGTAGGATTTTAATCATTAAGCATATCTTTTAAAATAAATGCTATAGTGGTTATCTATACCTAATTTTGGTTGGATTGGAGGAGGTTTTTCAGATGTTTAAGTTTTTAAAATTATAATAAAATATCGTTTTCACACATAAGTCACAATAAGCTAACCAGTCTTATACATATATATAGTACATGGGTCATATACAGTATATGTATATGACTATGTATACTAGTCATATACAGTACGTGGCACTTACCTGTCCAGCCACTTCCGAATTTGAGCTAAAACTAGGGCTCGATGATGAACAACTTCTAAGTTTCCTCTTGGCATCTTAAAATAAATAAATCAAAATAATAACTTTTTTTTTAGAGACAGAGTATCATTATGTCGCCCTCGGTAGAGTGCCGTAGCATCACAGCTCACAGCAACCTCTAGCTTTTGGGCTTATGCAATTCTCTTGCCTCAGTCTCCCGAGTAGCTGGGACTACTGGCACCTGCCACAACACCGGGCTATTTTTTGTTGCAGTTTGGCCAGGGCCAGATTTGAACCCACCACTGTTGGTATATGGAGCCAGTGCTCTACTCACTGAGCCACAGGCATTGCCCAAAGAATGACATTTTTCATTAAGTAGATAAATTTAAATAGCCAAGATATACAATTTTATCTAACTCTTTATAGAGAACTACCACAATGTTATAAAATGCTATAAAATTTTAGCAGAATCTAGTTCTCAATATTTATCTTGAATTAAAAAAAAAGACTTCTCTGAGCCTCATTGGTCAGAGCCTATATTGACACTTCTTTGTACAGTCAACAGAAAACCTAACAAGGAAAGACTTACAATACATGATTACATATCATAAGAAAACCTAAAATATAACCTCCAAGAATTCTCTTTGGCATTGACTGACTGACAGTAAGAAAGATAACCTGAAAAAACAGCTTACCTGTAATATAAGCTTTGTGTCCTGCGGTACAACAGTGACAATTCGTGAGCCCCTTTCCACCTTCCGCATAATCTCCCCATTGGAAACATGACTGCTGCTCAGACCTGCCTGTAATACTAAAGACACCCTTGGCTAAGCCTTAAGAATTATCATGGCAAGCTACTCTCCATTAATGCAGCCGAAACCATACATATTATCTGAAACAGAAGATACCAAATAACAACCAAATTCTTTTGCTCTCCCACAGAACTTTAAGACCATTTAATTGCCCTTCTGATAAACACTCTCATCCCTGGAACTTACCTTCTCTCTTATAGAGCCCTCGTGTATATTCATATAACTTCTCAAATGATTTTGAAAGATCTAGGCAACTTCTCTATTTCTTAGCAGCATCAGTACTATAATCGTTATCAATGAATGGAAGATTCTGTTTCCAAGTTAGGAGCAAAGAAAATAGTGGGCTTTATAGAATATAAAACACACACACATGTGGAAGGAAAGCCCACATAGAATAAGTTAAATGAAATGTGCTCTTTTAATTCCTGAAAATGGGTGAAAAGACTTGTAAGTATTGTGCGTTTTATAGAGGCCTAGCTGCCTGGGAGAGCATGGCAGGGCCTGCAGGCAAGGTGATAACAACCTCCTGCATGGAACTCTGACTATGCAGTCAGCCAGCCTGCCAGGTAAGGGTTGATATGGCCCATCTGTGCAGGAGACATGGCTCAAAGGTTGATGTGAGTGAAAAACTCCGTTGTATAAAGCAGGTGGCCTCCAAACCACAAGAAAACAGTCATTGAGCCTGTTACTTGGTAACTTAATTGAGTACATGGAAGAAAAATGTTTTACTTCCCTGTTTGTCGGACCTTTAACTTTGACAATGGAAGTCAGATAATGCAGGGTTGCTTCAGGTCTTTAGAGGAATAGCTTGAGGCTAGTCTTAAGATAGTTATCTTACTTTTGTGGACTTTCTGCCTTTTCTATAGTCTAAGATAAGAATAGAGAATATTAAGATTACTGACTAGCTCCCTATAATAGGTGGTCGAGAATAAAGATGATTTGCTACATGCCACCCAAGAGCGTGTAGTTGTTTCTTGCTTTCATACAATTCCAGGAGAAAGCTTGCACCCGCGGCCAAACCGTCCTTCTCTCCCTGCAAGAAATTACCACCCAACACACACACACAGAGCATGCAATAGAAGAAAAAAAGGAGTCAATATCCAATAAATCATGAGATGAGTCCAGATGTACAATGGAGTTTACCACAGTGAGAAAAGGAAGATTATGCAGAAGTTAGAACATAATGCCAACTTGGAAGCTATGTGGCAATTCAAAATAAAATTAGGTTCGGTGCCTATAGCTCAATGGTTAGGGTGCTGGCCACATACACCAGGTCTGGGGGGTTCAAACCCAGCCTGGCCTGCTAAACAACAGCGACAACTGCAACAACAACATCAAAAAAATGGCCAGTCATTGTGGTGGGCACCTGTAGTCCCAGCTACTTGAAAGGCTGAGGCAAGAGAATCGCTTAAGCTCAAGAGTTTGAGGTTGTGAGTTGTGACGCCACAGCACTCTACTGAGGGTAACATAATAAGACTTTGTCTCAAAAAAAAAATGAATGAAATATATAAAACAAAATAAAAATACCAGATCAGTCATATAATTTCCTAGAAAATGTTATACTGTAGAATGTGCTGCTGAAGGAAGAGGCCTTGTTCTTCAGATGTTTTTACTAACAGGTACAGAATCTATAACATTTATTTATGTTAAAATTAGGATCTAAGGAAATGAACTCTAAAGGTTTTCTCTAGCCTAGAACTCCATGATAAAAGTCAAAGTACGTCAAGAATTTAAAAGTTCAGAAGTCACATTGGGTGGAGTGTACAGAATTCTGAGGACCTGACTCTTCATAGCATGGCCTTTGTGGGTGAATCCATTTGCATGTCTAGATTCTGTATGTAGAGGCTATCAATAAGAATAGGCTTATCTGCAAGAAGTTTAAAATTTTAACTTATTTGACAAGTATCTATTAAATGCAAACACTGTACAAAGAAAAAAAAAAGAATTTAAAAGTTCAAAAGACAAAAGACATTGGAAGAGGGATTATTTCTATTTTATACATTGAGAACTTACGTTTAAATGAAGCATCTCTCAGGCAAAAACACTGACAGGTATGGGAATGGGTTGTCAGCAATAAAAATTCATCATACACTGCAAATGATGTGATATTTGATGCAATCTGCAATGAGGCAAGAGAGGGAAAGGGGAAAGTTAGCTATACTACTCGGAGTCAACACTGTGAAAACCACTGAATACCAAACCAAGCCTTGGTACCTCAGTGTCATTGATGAAAAAGCGACACCTGTCAGTTAGACCAAGGACACATTCCTGTAAAGAAATAAAATTAAAATTACAAGCTGTTCTATTTCAAACTAGTTAAACCTGATTTTTCTATAACATAGCTCTATTGTCCTGTGGTTTCACCTGTAAGTTCTTATAACCAGGACTGAACACAGACACTAAGACCTGACTGATTCTGTGCAAACTGGAATGTGATGCCATCAATCCATCAGCAAGCCCTGTCATGTCTATGGCCTATGTGGATCTCAATTACATCTCTTCCCAACCCTCACCCCACCCCCGACACCACTTCAACAGTCTCTCTTTTGATCACCCATTCCACTCTCATCCCTCTCCAATCTACTCTTCTCGGGGAGGACCCAGAATCACCTTTCAAACCATGAAGCATTCATCAATAACTTTCTAATCTTAATCTAAAAAAATTCAAACACTCCTATGATCTGTCACTAAGCTCTAGCCACATTGCTTCCATTCAGTTCCTTGAACAAAATGAGCTTCTGACAAACTCAAAGCGTTTACAGTTCCATCTTCCTGAAACCCTCTTCCTCTTAGGGAGAGAGCCTTCTTTCCTTTATCTCTCAGCACATATATCACCACCTCAGAGAGGCTTTTCAAGACCACCAAAAGTAGGACTCTGACTCAGCGCCTGTGGCTCAAGCAGCTAAGGTGCCAGCCACATACACCTGAGTGGGCGGGTTCGAATCCAGCCC